CGAGGCGGGAGAGCCCAGCCGATAGGGACCTCCCGCGCATGCCTGCAGCTGCGGGGAGGCATTTCTAGACAAGGGGCCCACCCCACAGGGCCAGTTTTCAGAAACGTGGGAGTCCTCCAGTCCAGTGAAAGCCGCGGTGGGGCGTTCCCGAGGACGCATGCGCCCTCGCCAGCCCCGCGGCGCGGTGGTGGCGTGGTCTTTTCAACGCCAGGCGTCCAGGCGACGTCTGAGGTGGAAGGGGCGTCTAGGAGTCGCAGGACGCATGCGTCCTAAGACCGAGGCGTTTCCTTCGGAGGGTGTGGAGCGCAGAGCGCCGTTCTGCGCAGGCGCAGGGGCTGTCCGGTAGGGGGAGAGTGGCTTGTCAAGGGGAGGGAAGAGGAGAAGGGAGAGCATGAAATACCGGTGCGCCTGCGCGTTTCCGACCGGTAGGAAGAGCCCAGGCCTTGCGAGGGGCGGGGTCACGTCTGCGCGTCACGGGATGGGTAGGTGGGAGAGAGGGTGGAGATCGGAGAAGGTCTGTGCGCTTGCGCAGTGCGGGGGTGGAGGGCGGAGGAGCTAGATAGCACGCTTGCGCGGCTGTCACAGGGCTGCTTGGTTGGTCAGTGGGGAGTCGGCGCCTGCGTACTAAGACCCGTGTGCAGCAGCGGCGGCGGCGGTAGAGGCGGCGGCGGCAGCAGCGGGCTCGGAGGCAGCGGTTGGGCTCGCGGCGGGCGGACCGGGTCGAGTCAGTGCGTTCGCGCGAGGTGAGGGCGGGCAGGGCGCGCCTGCGCGGAACCCTGGGCGGCGCTCGGGAGGAGCGATGATGGAACCGCGCGGGGGTCGGGGAGGGGGCCGCGGGAGCGGCGCTCCGCCGCCCGGGTTCCGCCGGGGAACGGCGCGAGGTGCGGGGAGGCGCGGGCACGCGCCCCGGTTGGCGCGCAGGGTGACGGTTGGGGCCGGCCCGGTGACGTTGGAGCGACGCAGGGCGGGGGACGGCGAGCCGCGCGGCCGCCACGCGGGAGAGGCCGCCAGGCGGCCGCGCCGGGGCAAGGGCCGGGGGTCCAGCCGGATCGGCCCGCCGCGACGGGCGGACCTGGGCCGTTGAGGACCGGGCGCCGCGCGGCCACGTGAGGTGGGGGAGGGGGCTATCCGGTGCGGGCGTGCGGAGGGCCCGGCGGCCGCGGGGGGAGGGGAGCGGCGTGGCTCCGGCCGGCGCAGCCTTTGAGCAGGGGCGGCCGCGGCGCCGGAAGTGCCCCCTCGGCAGGCTGCCCTCGGGGTCGGGGGCCGCGTGGTCCAACGTGGGCCGGGGCCTCATGGCAGCGCGGGGACCCCCTCCCCCCAGGTCCCGGCCACCGGAAGCCCCGGGCGGCCACATGGTGGGGAGGGAGTCGGCCTGGAGTCCGAGGAGCTGGCGGAGCCCGGGCCGCGGCCGGCGCTGCGGGCGCACTGCGGGCATATGTTAGCGGCCCGCAGCCCCGTGAGCCTCCTGCTCCAGCCCTCCCGGGCAGCTAGGCGGCCGGCCAGTTGTAAGCGGCGCTCTGCGGAGCTGGGAGGCCGGAGGAACGGGGCAGGGCGAGGGCAGTTGGACGGGATCCCAGCTCGGGCCGGCCTGTGCCGCTGGTGCCTGCACGGCCCGGGCCGGGGTGCTCCCCGCCGGCGTGTGCGCCTTCACCTTGTGGCCGTGGTCCCCGCTGGCTCTGGCGTGGGAGATCCTGGGTTTCAGCCCCCTTAAGTGGCCCGGTCGAGTGTGATCTCCGCTCCTCACTACTCTCCGCTTTTTTACTTTCATTTTATTGCCTCTCACCACCCCCACTCCCCCAAGTTCGTACTGACGGCACTGGCCTGGCCTGAAAAGCCGACGGGCCGAGGCATCCTGGGAGAAATGGGAGGGCTCCAGGTTCCCCTTTGGGGAGATCCGAGTGTGGGGCAGGGGACAACTTTACTCTCTCCCCGCTGACGGCATCTGCAAGTGCACGCGGAGACGGGAATCCCCCCCAGAGGCCTGTGGCTTCCTGCGCGTGTAGGGACTGGGGTGGGGGTGCAACAGAGCCGGGTGGGGCCTCGGCCTTGGGTCTCCGCCCCCCGTTAGCCCCGCCCTCAGCCGGCTCCTGGCTGCTCACCTAATTATAGCCTTGGCCGCGGGTGGGAGGGAGGGCTGGTCGGTTCCAGCAGCAAGTGACACCTGAGGCCTCCGGGGCCCAGGAAGTGGCCCTTCCTGTTGATGGGGTGTCCTGGCCGCCAGGAGTCTTGCTTTGTCCTACCGCTACTTCAGCTCTTCTCTGCAGGGACGGGTCACTATTCCCTCTTGTGGGCACACCCGCTGGCAGTTAGCACAAGAAGTTTGGTTTTATTTAGGTAGGTCGTGAAAGCATTGGAGAGGAACGTAGCAAAGTGTCCAGAGTGGTGGTAAGCACATCTTTACTGACCGACCCCTTCTCTTCCTGGCTCTAGTTGGAATCGAAGCCTCTTAAAATGGCAGATGATTTGGACTTCGAGACAGGAGATGCAGGGGCCTCCGCCACCTTCCCGATGCAGTGCTCAGCATTACGTAAGAATGGTTTTGTGGTGCTCAAAGGCCGGCCATGTAAGATCGTCGAGATGTCTACTTCCAAGACTGGCAAGCATGGCCATGCCAAGGTTAGAATTTTGCCTCTTCTGCCTTCCTCCCACCCCTTCTCCCTGTGCCAGGGGGCTCTGGGCAGCCACCCGCAGTATGTCCTTGCCCTCGACCTTCTTCCTGTTTGTTCAGTGCTTGGCCGCTCTGTTGGCCACCTCTTCATTGCTTGCATCCCTAAGCTCCTGTCAGTCTCTTGTGTTCCTTTATGCTGTGTTGGCAGCCCCTTCCATATTCCTTGCTTTTACTTTCTCATTTCTGAGCTTTCGTAGGTGGTGCTGTCGCCACTTGCCCTGTTTCTGGCCAGCCTTGGGCAGAAGGCAGTGCCTCCAAGGAGAAGGGGCTTTGCTGCCTGGTCCCTGTCCTGTCTTTGTCCCTTTCGGAACTCTGCTGGCCTGACCCACTCTGGCTTCTCTGGTCCTGGCTGTGTGCTAAGTCCCCTTGCTAATGCTTCCCCCTCCGACTGACCCTTCTCGTAAGTTCAGCTGCTCCATCCTTGGGGACTTCCTTGTCCTTATTGACTTGTGCCATTTTTCTATTTTTGACTTGGTGCCTTGATCCTGGGTTATCCCCTAATATCTAGGTGGTTTGCTGTGCTCCTCCAGTTTATTTTTGTTTTACTTTCTTCATTTCCAGCTCCTTTTGTAGGGGTTCAGAAGCTCCTTTTTCAGGCTTGTAATTGGGTTATTTGCACTTCCTTAGACTCTCAGTCTCTTGTTTCATGCTTTTTAGTAACTCAGAACTCCCAGGTGACTGGCTTCTGATCAGCCATGGGGTGTGTGCCCCACTTTGGGAGGGGTCTCAGGTGGATTTTAGAGTCTAGGCTGTTTCCGGAGTTGATGGGCTGAATCTCGTCTCCCCAACCTTTGCCCTGACAATGCATTCTCAGAAGCTAGGGACAAGTTGAGCTTTTTCTCTATGATGTGCACACACAGGTCCACCTGGTTGGTATCGACATCTTTACTGGGAAGAAATACGAAGATATCTGCCCGTCAACTCATAACATGGATGTGCCCAACATCAAAAGGAATGACTTCCAGGTATGCACGTGCTCTGGCAGGGATAGGGGGAGGGTTAGGGGGTGAGATGCAGACTGAGTGGGTAGGGGAGGCGCTGGGTGGTCAGTGGGTCTGTCAGACCCAGTAATTTCCACCTACCTTCTTTGCCTATCTGCCCTCAGCTGATTGGCATCCAGGACGGGTACCTATCGCTGCTCCAGGACAGCGGGGAGGTGCGAGAGGACCTCCGTCTGCCCGAGGGAGACCTTGGGAAGGAGATTGAGCAGAAGTACGACTGTGGAGAAGAGATCCTGGTATGGTGCCCTTGCTGTGCCATGTATGCCCCGCACGCTGCTTGGGCAGCTTTCGTGAGCACAGACTTCTGACCAGCCTCTGTCCCCCCAGATCACAGTGCTGTCGGCCATGACGGAGGAGGCAGCTGTAGCAATCAAGGCCATGGCAAAATAACTGGCCCCAGGTGAGCAAGTGGGCCTCGGGGTTGCTGACTTGCGGGGGGATTGCTTTTCACCCTTCTCCCCTGGTGAGGGTCTCCCCTCTCACACAGTTCTCTCTCCTCAGGGTGGTGGCAGCGGTGGCAGCAGCGATGTGATCCTCAGCCTGCAGAGGCCCCTTCCCCAGCCTGGCCCCACTCTGGCCTGGTCCTTGGCTGGACTCCTACACAATTTATTTGATGTTTTATTTTGGTTTCCCCCACCCCTTCAATCTGTCGGGGAGCCCCTGCCCTTCACCTAGCTCCCTTGGCCAAGAGCTAGTGAGCAGTGGCCTTGGTGAAGCTACCTGCCTCCTCTCCCCTCACACTACAGCCCTGGTGGGGGAGAGGAGGTGGGTGCTGCTCGTGGTTTAGTTTTTTTTTTTTTTTTTAATTCAATCTGGAATCGGAAAGCTGTGGATTCTGGCAAATGGTCCCAGTGCCCTTCCCCGTCTCAGCCCTAGTCTGGTCTGCTCCTCATAGTGCCCCCACCCCAAGTACTTCCCCACCAGACTGGGGGCCAGTCCCCTCCCTTGCCTGGGTCTCTCCCCAAGTCCCTTAAACGGGGGAAGGAAGGGGAGGGGACCTGCCCCCTTGTCGGGCATCTGGGAGGCCCTGCCCCAATGGGCTTCACCCTTTCCCTGCGGGCTCTTCCCCGACACATTTGTTAAAAATCAAACCTGAATAAAACTACAAGTTTAATATGAAGCACCCAACTCAGCTGCTTACTTGACTTGAATGGCTGTCTGACTGGAAGGTGAACAGGACAGCAGAAATAAACTGAACTCTACCACTGGGTTCATTATAAGCCATCTTCACTTGGGACTTTGCTGTGGACCTGCCAACCACCCTTCCCCCAACAAGTAACCTTGACATACTCCACACTGGGTGGGAGGCAACAGAGTAGCAGCAGCAAGGCCCAGTGGCAGGTGGATTTTATTGGCCTAGGACACACAGGAGGGACCCTCACACAGAGTGGGGTTGAAGATGTTATCTGGTGGTCACTTGTGGTAGAATCGTGGGTTCTGGCTGTGCTGGATGAAGGGCAGCCGGGGGCCAGGTTGGCTGGTAGCTGCAAAGCCTGACTGGTGGTAGTGACAAGGAGGGCTTCGTTAGGGTGCATGGCCTCCTTTCCACACCAATGGGCCACCCAGAGGAAGACCAGGAGGGTTACAGGATAGCCATTGGGCCTTGTGGCTGTCCTTACCTTGCCTGCTGTTTGCATCTGCACTGGGAGCTGGGGGGAGGCAAGGAGTCCAGGAGCTGGGTGCAGAGCCTGGGGGTGCATTGGACGCAAGGAGGACTGGGGAACAGAAACAGGCCTGAAGTTAGTGGGTGTCCCTCTTGGCGTGGTCTTGGTCTCCCAGGGCTGTATACTCACGGAGTCAGAGAAGCTGGTTGGCTGGTTGGCATGTTCCATCTGCTTCTGCAAGGATAGGGCACTCGCAGGCTGTAGGAACCCTATGAGGGGGAGATGGGAGACCGGAGTGAAGCGAGTGGGAAGGGAGGCTGGAATGACAGACCTTAGAGGGGTGCTGTGGTCACCTGATTGGGTGGGCTGGAAGTGGCCGTGTACCGCATAGGGCTGTGGCTGTGGCTGAGAGAGGTATTGCACTGCAGGAAATGCTGATGGTGCTGGAAAAAGCAGGGGTCACAGCCATTAGAACTAACCCCCACCCCAATAGCCCCTCTCGGCTTGCAGGAGACCTGCCCTCATCCCAGCACTCACTCCGGAGCTGCTGACCAGGACTGTAGGCTGGCTGGGTGGGTCCGTAATGGGGTGGGGGCTGAGCGGTCCCATAGGCACCACCAGGACTGCCCTGGAACTGCCCGTGCTCTGGGGTTCCTGCAAACGCAGCTGCTGAGCCCACATAGTGCCGGGTCTGCAGAGGAGGATGAGAACTGGTAAACCCTTGAAGGCAGACATTCGGGCTCCAGGACCCCATGGTTCCCATTCACAAAGTCCGCCCGAACCAGGGATGCGTAGCAGCCAAACGGCCCTGACAGCCAACCATGCTCAACTCACAGTCAGCACTTGCGGTCCAAACATCTGTTTGGCTCTGTCAGCTGCCATCAGGGTGCCCGGGCGACTGTGTCCTCCAGGACTCCCTAGAAGGGAAGACTGGCTTTAGGAGGCTGCAGCCTGGGGGAAGGTGGGGCTGCAGCACGTCCTCCCTTAGCCCTCACCCTGCATGCTGAGAAGGTGTGCTCCCGTGTGCACCGTCAGGCTCTGCTGGTACGCGGCCGAGGTCAGAGTGGTCAGGTCACTGATGAGGGAAAAGGTCAAGGTCAGGAACAAGTGCAGCCCGCCCCCCCACCGCCTGGTCACATCTCCACCTGGTCCCCCATCCCACCTCTGCTCCTTCCGCCTCCGCTTCTCTTCCTCATGTAAGACTTTCTTGAGCTGGAGGAAGAGCTGGTGCTTCTCCTCCTGCAGGGCCAGCAGCTTCTCCTGCAGCTTCAGGATCTTGGAAGAGCAGGCGAGGAAGATGAGGGCGCGGGGAGGCAAGGCCGAGGGGGGAGGCGTGGCGGAGCGCGTGGAGACTGCCTACCTGCTCCTTGGTCTCCTCCAGGGACATCCTCTCCTCCATTTCCTTCTTCTTCCTTCTCTCTTGCTCCTCCTTCATCTTCTGTTCCATCATCTTATCCACCTCCTCTTCCTCTGCAGAAATCAGAAAGGAAGGGAGCAGAGAGGCGCCCGGGGTGGTGAGGATATGTGAAGCGTTAGCGAGGGAGAAGGTGAACGTTGGGGACCCCGGCCCCTCACCCTAACAGCCTGGCAGAGGCAGGTGCTCTCCAAGGTGCTTCCCGGAAGCCAGGACCGGGCCTCGGAACCCCGAGCACGGCACCGCACCCGGCCCGGCCTCGGGCGCCAGCCAGCCCCGGCCCGGCTCACCCTGGCGCTTGCGCTCCCGCTCCATCATGATGTGCCGGTGCAGCGCCCTGGCCATGGCGTTGGAGAGCTTGGGGCGCTCCAGCAGCGCCGGCATGGTGTCGGTGGAAAGGCTCGGGCCGCGGGCACAGGGCTGGGGTACAGACACTGCCGGCCTCGGCACGGGGCCTGCGGGGATGCCGGGCGCTCAGCGGGACCGTGGCCCGGTCACGTGCGGCGGGAGCCCCGCGCCCCACAGGCCGGGCGGCAGCCGCCCGCTCGCTCGGCGCTGCGCTCCTGCAGCACCAGGAGCCCCGGGCGCCGGCCCCTCCGCCCCTCCGCCCCTCCGCCCCTCCGCCCCGGGCCCCGCTCCCGCCCCGGCCCCGCAGCCCCGGCCCCTCCCGACCCGCCTTCGCGGCGCTTCCTCCGCCGCTCCGGGTGCACCTTCGCCCTCGCCCCGCGTCACATCCGGCGGCCGCGCCGAATTCTTCCGGGCGAAGGGAAGGCGGAAGTGCTCTGGGACGGGTGCCCGCGACGCCCAAACCTCGGCGGCGGGGGACAGAGAGGCCGAGGCGGGGGCTAGGAGAGGGCGTTTATTGTTGGCTCTTTAGAAATCAGTCGGTAACAACTGTACACCGGGCCTCGCGCCCGCCCGGCCCACGCCCACCCGCTGGCCCCCGGAAAAGCAGCATCGTGTGGACATGGGGGGGAGGAGGTGGGGAGACCCCCGGGGATTCACAGTAACTAGAAACAAAAACGGAAATAAATTAAGTGATACGGGATAGGGGAGTTAACAGGGAGACGAGTTCCCCGGATCAGTGCATGAAGAGGGGTTCCCGGACCCGGGCCCCGAGCTGGACTCCACCGCCGCTCTGAACCCGTCTACACTGCGGGTCCTGCGCACCTGCCAACACTGAGCACCGTGCATGCCGGGAGTCGCTGGAATGAGGTGGAGGCTGTGGCCGCTCGGAGTCCACCAGTGGGCCGAGCCCCGTCTGTGCTTGTGGCGGCTGCGCGTGGCCCCTCATTCCACCCGTACCAGCAGGGCGTAGAGGAGGATGGCCCCCTTCTCCTTAGTGACCCACTCCAGCTCGGCTGTGCCGAAGTGGGGGTCCGGCGGCTCCCGGAGAGCTGCAGACGGGGGGCCTGGAGTGTAGGAGCCAGGGCGCACACACACCTGGAAGGCCACCTGAGCCTGGTGTGTCCTTTGAGATTTGGGGTCCCGGAATCTGTGGGGCAAGGAGCAGAAAGGGGAGAGTGAGGGTGGCCCTGGTAGAGGAACTCTGGCTTCGCTGTTCACAAGGACTCCCACAGCCGCAGGCCTCTCTACCTGAATGGTGCTTCCTCCCCAAGGCAGCAGGGCCAAACCGTCCCGTCCACTGCCAAGCCTGTGCTCACCTCTTCCCTCCCCTTACCACCCTATGTGCCAGGCTGCCCGCACCAGCCAAGGCAGACAGGATTCCCACTGGCTGGTTCCTGCCCTAAATGCCTACAACAGCTGCGGTTGGGTCAGGCCTGAGGCTGGGAGCCGAGGGGAGTCCCAGCAGGTGTGAGACTTGTACCATATGGGGAGGGGAAGGAATCCAGTCACTGGGTTAGCAGGAAGCTGGAGTCAGAAGCCAGAGCCTGAAAGGAACCACATGGAACGCAGGCTCTGATGTGGGACATGCGGAGTGGGAACTGCTAGGCCAGGTGCCCAGCTGCTGACCGTCCTTGTCAATGTGCCCACTCCAACCCACTGCCTCTTCTGTTTGCTTCCATGGTATTTACACATCTCCTTCCAAACCACTGGAGACTTCAGTGGGTAGAAACATTCTAGAGAGAAGACAGGGTCCACAAAACTCAAGCTCCTTCAAAGAGTTCACCGAGGATGCTACGTGGTACCTGTCTCATCCATGAATGAAGAAACAACTGGGTGAAGACTGAGCAATGGACAGAGGGAGAAAAGGGGCAGGCAAGGGGGTGATCCAGGAGGCCCTGGAACATGTTTCATCTGGGCCCCCTGAACCTCTCTGTCCTCACTCTGCATACTCACTGCACTTTGGAGGCCAGGGTCTCGGCCCCAGCATACTGAAGGGATGGGGACAGCAGCACTGGGGGCGGCTGCTCCTCCCGGGGTGGCGCACAGTTTTCACCAGGCTCCTCAAACCCTCCTCCGGGCTCCCCCTTCAAGGGTCGGCAGCTCAGGATGGAGGCGGCACCTACGTGGAGAGCTGGGTCAGGGTGGACCCACATGCATAGGACTCCCTGTCTTTGCCCACCCTATGGTACCTGCTCCCAGCTCCCCACGGTCCAGCACCCTCCGCACAGCTGCCACACTGCTCCCATGGTACGCTATGTGCCACTTCTTAGTTAGCGTTCCGGCCTCCAGGCGGGGATTCACTCTGTGGGGAGGACAGATCCAGCAGACAAGACAAAGGTCACGGCTGTACAAGGTCATCCACAAGACGGGAAGTTCTAGAACTTACTCCATGTACCCTCTAGGGACTCTGGGAGGGCGGGTGAGGGGAGCAGCCCCACAGGGAAAACTACACGGCACTGGCCCCCTGTGTACCTGAGGTTGAACCTGCACCAGCCCAAGGGCAAGGCATACTCCCTCGGGGGCTCCCCTCTGCGCCTGTGGGCCTCGTCTCCTCGAAGCTTCCGGCAGGACTCACAGTAGCACAGGCTACGCTTGGGTGGAGGCATGAAATAGTCCTCTGTGGGGAGGGAGTGGCAGGCTGGGTGCCGGGGCATCCGCCCTCCAGCCGTTCTCCAGGCTCTGGCCATTGCCCTGGCCAGGCTCTGGGCATGCACCAAGTCCCATGGGCAGGGACTCACCGGGAAGCAGCAGCAGCTCTTGGAAGCGGGAGCAAAGGGCGTGGTACTCGCAGCTCTTTAGGGGGTTCGCAGTGGGTGGGGGACCCCAGCACACACTCTCCTTGATCCCTGAGGGAGAGGGGGCAGAGGTCATAGGAGCTGGGGCTGGGGGAGGGGAAGGGAGGGGAGCAGAGGGTCCTGGCCCCTTCCAGTTTGCGCACCATCTACCATGTCAGCTTTCTCCATGTCCCCCTGGGTGCCAGCACTCTTCCCATTGGCAACCCCTGGCTCTGGGCTGACGATTGTCACCTGTAGGGAGTAAGGGCAGTCAACCAAGGTTCTGTCAGCCTGGCAAACCCCTTGCCAAGGATGGTCCAGACTCCCAGGCACTTGCCTGCTCGCATTGCCCGTAAAGGTCCACCAGCGCATGACAAGGCTGGGGTACATCTGGCACCGCCACACCGTGGTCCACCCCGTTGACATGCAGGTGCAGCCCCCCAGAGCTGTCCAGCCGCAGGCCCAGGATAGTGCCTTCAGGACATGTGTCCAGGTTGGGCCCAAACTTCTCACAGATCTGGGAGGAGAGACGCACTGTCTTCCAGAGATCAGACTCCAGCTACCAGCCTCCAGCTGGCCAACCCCATGCGACCTGGGCTGCAGTCCCTGGGCCCTGCTTCCAGCCCTCCCAGCTGCTGGAGTGCTGCTCCCACCTTCTCTTTCCCCAATATCCCTTTCTCCACAGCAAGACACAGGAAGAGACCTGAACACACACCCCTTGCCCAGTTCCTTTGGCCCCACAGTGCTGCCTCCAAGACCTGCCCTTTCTGCTCATCACCTTGAGCCCATTGTGGAAGACGCCACGACCGCGCAGCAGCCAGGCGGCCCGTTTGAGGGCGCAGGCAGACGCAGGGAAGTTGAGCCGCTCAGGGGGGCAGGTGATGACACCCAGGACAAGAGAGGATGTCCATTGCCTGTTCAGGAAGTCTATCCGCACCTGGGAGAAGGGACTGGCTTACACCCCCATTTCCTGGGCCAACGGCCTTCCATCCAGGCAGGGCCTAAGGAGCAGCCTGGCTGCTGCAGACACCTGAAGCCATGCACTGGGGAGTTGGCTTGGCCCTTCACATGGGGTCCTGCTGCTGCCTCTGCATGACTTGCTGCCTGCTCACCCTGGCCACCTTTCAGGAATGAGGCAGAAGGGCCCATCAGCAGAGCCCATGGTTCCCAGAGCCCATGGTTCCCAGAGCCCATGGTCCCTACTCCACAACCCTCCAGCCCCTCCCCTCTGCTTCCCTCATCAGTGTGCAGTGGGGGCTTGGTGGGAACTAACGTACAGCCCCCACTGTGGATATGAAAAGCCCTGGCAGCCTGTCCAAAGGCCTTGCCTTCTACTTTTGCTCTTCCCTGGGGAACAGGCTGGGTACCAGGCTACCCAAGGCCAAAAGGAGCCAGGCCCACCTGGACCAGAAGCTGGGGAACGAGGGGCTGGCTGATAACGACGATGCCCTGATTGTAGCTGGCCACACGTGTGGCCGTCCGATTCCCATTGGATAGGAGGATGTTCTTGCCATGGTTCTCCAGGAACTCGAGTGCTGTGGGCACAACATCCACTTGATCCTGGCCCTAGTGTGGAGGAAGAGGCTAGACTGCATGGGCTGCTAAGGTCACGCCCAACCCAACGTGGGGTCCACTCAGAGCTCTGGCACTGGCCTCTGCCGGGCCGCCAGAGGACCCTCAAAGGCCAGGCACCTGTCAGCCTGCCCGCAGCCCATTTGCACACCCAACAGGCCCCTGCACAGCCTCTTACTCCCGAGCCTCGCTCCTCGCCCTCATCTTCCTCCTCGCCCTCACTGCCAGTGTCCAAGCTAGGGGAAGGAGTTTGGGTGCCTTCTGGCTCCTCCAGCCGAGTGGAACTGACGATGGAGACGCAGCGTACTGGTCCGTAAAGGTCCAACACGGCCCACACGTTCTGGGGGCACACAGGACCCAGAAAGGCAGAGGTCAACGGGAGGTTCCCAACTCAAGAACTCACCCCTAGGACCCACACATGTCCTCTGGTCTACCTTGGCAATACCAGTGGCTGCGGGCCCCAGATCTTCTCCGTCCACCAGGATGTGCATTGTGTCGTCAGCCCCCCGGCGAATGCCCACACGGCTGCCCACCTAGGAGCAATAGCAGACAGGGTTGGTGCTCAGCCCACCATGCCTGAGCCCTCACAGTTCTCGGGGCTGGTGGCTGCCTCACCCCCAGCCTCTCCAGGTTCCGTCCATAGTTCATCCTCTGCAGTTGCCCATCACGCCTCACTTCGCAGCTAGATACCATCCAGGTGGTTTTTGTCCGGAGCTCTGGTAAGGAAGGAGGCAGTCCTGGGCCACCACCTGCTCCGGACCCCATTTCCCCCGGGGCGAGTGTAGTTAGCCCCAGCCGGAGGGACCCTGCCCACTTCTCGTC